GCTATTATATAGCAAGCTAACTAGGAAGGGTTTGCAATATAAGGCGGGAGAGGGCAGAGGTAGTATATTATTAAACCTAGCGGGCTTAGAGGAGGGTTAGGATAGAATCTAATTGCGTATTTCCTTATTCTATTAATATAGTATAGCTATTATAGCAGAGTCTTAAGCCTATTATTCTATTAATCTATAGACCTATTATATTAGCCTTTCTACTATATTAGGTTACACCTAGTTATTCTAAATATCTAGTGCGTCTATCTCTTATTACTATTATAGTATGTTTAGAAGAAGATACTAAAATATTATAGACTAGCCTTAAGGGAGAATACAATAAGTGTTAATAATAGTATTTAGTATCTTAAAGGAGAGATAAGCCCTCCACGCCTTTTTATAGGTGTCTAGTGTGTTCGCTTAGTAGTGGTGTTAGACTTGGTCTGTCTTGTGTTAGACCTAGGCTTAGGCATAAGCCTAAGTCCTTCACACTTTATACGTGGTTTCTTCTTAGTTAGGGCAGGCATTTAGGGGTCTAAAGATAATAGGCCTCTATCTATCTAAAGTAGTACTTGTGTAGAGTAATAATCTAGGCTTAAAAGATTATATAGCAAGTTCGTCGCTCTTATTTTAAGTAAAGGAGGCGTCTAAGGTGTGGAGGGAAGGTTACTAATATCCCCTAGCTTAGCGTTATTAAATTTAATAGGAGGGAGCGTTGTGACTAATTCCCTTAGCTACTATTTAGGGTGTTAAAGGTCTTAATATTATAGTTTATAGTTAATCCTATTACCCTAAATAGTTTAGAATATCTAAGGGACTAGTAGGATAAAAGTAACATCCTAGGATTTAACAATAACAGCCTGTTATGGTATATAGAGGCAGCTCGTTCTAGTGCTATAACTATAGCTAACAAAGATACCTTCCTTAGAGCGGTGTAGGAGTTTAGTACCTAGCTTTTAGGCCTCTATAGGAATATAGACATAGGCCTAGATACTAAATAGTTAGAGGTGTTAAATTAATAGTTTCCTCCTAAAGAGCTATTTATGTAGGGTACAACGTAATAAATCTATTAAATACAGTGCAATATTCTTAAGGAAATTTGCAAGTATTATAGCTTTAGCCTATAGGAAAAGCAGATTGTTAGATAGTATTATGTATTAAGTAATTTAAAATAGTGTGCGGTTAAATTGTTCTAGAACGCTATTTAGCTTATAGTAGTAAGGTAGTAATAGCTTGTGGTTAATTCCTTTAGCTTTAAAAAAATTTTAAAGATTATAACTAATATACTTGCCGCTATTATTAGAGCGGAAGGCTTTAACGATAGAATATTATAGGATATTATTACTTGTCTTGTTATAAAATTAGGTGTTTACGTAGGCAATAAAATCCTTAATAGCTTAGGGTGCGTTAGCTTTAAGCTTAAGAAACTAAATCTATAAATATTAAGTGCAGTTATTAACAAAGGAGATGTAATACTATAAGCTACTAATGCTTTAAGCAGGTATTTTTCCTAAGAGGTTAGAATAAATAAGCTTAAGTAGCTAGGTATAGCGTAGTATCCCCTGTGTTAGCATATAGTGCACTAACTTTAATTGTTAATATATAGTATATACAAAATCCTTAGGTTTATCTAGCACTAGATATCTATTAGTATAGATACGTAATAGGTTTAGCACTAATAGATATCCTATAGCTTTATAGAACTCTTAGTATATCCTAAAACCTTTACCTTTATATGTATTATCCTTTGCCTTTATCGCTACTACTATTACCTCTACTGTCGTTGTTACTAGCGTTAGGGCCATTAATATTTAATTAGAAGTAGGGGGTGTTAGTAAGCTCGTGAGTATAAAGGCAGATAGTAAGGCTAAAGGTAGTTAGTTAGTCTAGAGCTATATTAGACCCTAGATATATCTAGCCTATAGTATATATTAACTGTGTCTAACAAGATATAGGTCGTTCTTCTTAGCAAATAGCTTAAACCCCTTGTGTCTAATAAATATCTATAAGAATAAGCAGGTGCTATAGAGTTTAGCGCTATAGAGTGTGTTAGTTAGTACTATAATATTAGTTAAGCTATTAGGGAGCTATAGGCGAAGTTAAACTGTACTAATTCCTTATATAGGGAGCTTAATGCTGCTAGCCATAGTAATAGTGCCCGTCTTTAGTATTAAGGATAGGAAGTTATTAGCGTAGCTAGATATATGCCTAGAGGCACTAGTATTAAAAAGCTATATAGGTAGGTTAATAGTAGTAGGTTAATAGATTACTGTAAATACACTTACTAATCTAGTACATTTGCTATTTAAGTTAAGCACTTAGTGTAATAATAATAATAGTAGTAGTAATATTATTAAGTTAATATAATAGTAAGTAGAGTAACTAATAATAGTAGTTAAGCTATTAGAGTCTTTATCTAGGTTAACTACAGTAGTATTATTTGCCTTCTACTTTTTCTAAGAGCCTAATAATAATAACTATAACTATAATATATTACTAGCTTTTTCCTTTACCTAGTTCTCCTTATACTTCTTAAGGTGCTTATAGTTAGGGTAGATATAACTAATAAATAACAAGTTATATTTCTAACACTAGGTATATTCTAGGCTAGTACTAGTTAATAGTAGCTTATTAGTATTTAGTCTTCTAAACACTATCTATCTAGCTATATAAGTAGCTAAGGAGTTAGCAATATCTAGTAAGTGCTTCTTAGAGATATCTAGGATCTTAGGTTTAATATCTTTAAACGTGGTTACGTTCCTAGTAGATAGGTTGTCTATAATATTGTCTATTATCTTAGGTAGAGTAGCAAGAAAGAAAGAGCCCTTAACCTAATCTAAGTTAAACATGTTACGTATTACTACTATAATAGGCTATATAGATATTATACAACGTTTAGCTATATATATCTAGCGATAATAAAATTTATTAAGGTGTAATCTAAGGTTATTACTATTATAATAGTAAAGGTTTATAAGTAACTAGAATAGTAGGATTAATACGTTACCTGTGTCTCTATTAAAGCAGTTAGCGAGGTGCTTCTAAGCTTCTAGGGAGGTGTTATAGCTTGCTACGCTTATTATTAGATTATTGTATACTAATAATAGCAGCATAACTAGAGCCTTATTATCTTGTTTATCCTAATCCTCTGTATTAGAAGGGAGTAGTAGACGTAACTTTTTCCTAGCAAGGATAGGCTAAATACCTGCGTACCTAAACGCTATTATCCACGCTAATTGCTATTCTAGGTAATTCTTACTATATAAGCCTAGCTTAGGGAGTAAGGATAGGTCTAGATAGAAGTTAAACGCTAGTTTAGATATATTAGGGGGTGCTAGGGATAGTAGCAATAATAGATATAGTAATAGATCTATTAGTAGAGCTATAGGAGCTATAAGAGCTAGTAAAGCTAGGGCTAGTAATAATAGGGGCAACGCGTTAAACAGGTTAGTGTATAAAGCTATAATAATAGTAATAGCAAGGTAGGTAAACTAAGTGTTTAAATATAAGCAGGTATTAGTAAATAAAGCTGCTAAGTATTTACTAGCAGATAGGCTAGGCTTATAACCTAATATAATAAAAGTATTAATTAAAGAGAATCTATAGAGCAAGGTGGCTAGATATAGACCTCTACTAGCCCTAAATAGGCGTCTCCTAGACGACCTAGGATGAAGGAGTCGTGATAGGAGGTGGGTAGTCACTACCTTAGTATAGGGTAAGCACTATGGGTAATACAAACAACAGGAGAAAGCTACCTAAAAAGCTACTATATATAATAAGTAGAAAACTACTAAGTAACTAGAAAAGTAACTCTAAAATAATATTAAAATATCCTAAATAGGTAAGAAGTAAATCCTTAAGCCTCCTACTATTATACTAGCTAAGGTGGTTAATAAGGAGCTAGTAGAAGAGGATATAGTAGTAGAGGCAACTTTATAGCGTAGGCGCCTAATTAGACCCCCTAAAAAGCTGCTTATATAATCTAAAATATTTAATCTACTCTAATAGATCTAATAATCGCGACTCTAAGAAATCTCGTAATAATAGCTATTATGGGTGGCGCAATATCCTTATTTAGTGGGTGGTGGATTTTGGTGTTAGTGGGCGCTCGGTGGGGGTGGGCGCTCGGTGGTGGATCATGTTATCAAATAGTGTACCGGGTTCTGCATAAATCGGCGCTCGGTGGGGGTGGGCGCTCGGTGGTGGATCACGTTACCGGTACCTCCTACCGCACGTGCTCTGACGCGCCGGACTGACATGTGACAGACCCACAACACAATCAGCCCTGCTCCTTTCACATGTCAAGAACACCCAACCCCCAATTCCCCCCGCCTTCTCTCCCTCGCTCCCTCTCCCCCCCTCTCTCTCTCCACACCAACGATGACGCAGTTGGCACGCACCAAGCCAGACCCTGCATTTCCTTCCTCCTCCCCACCCGTTTCCATCTCCACATCCCGCAGGCTACCCACTTGGCTAAACGACCGATTCCATGCGCATGGACGACGGACGGGGGCGGCGAGTCCCGCAATGCCCTCTTTTTTTTTTGATTTTGATTTTGATTTTTTCGTCTTTGTATTCCGTTGGAAATCTTGGGGGCTTGTAGACCCACAGCATACGTAGCCTACTACTACTACTACTACTACTACTACTAGCAACACAGTAGACCAGCCCATGTACATGCAAACCATAAACTTCACACAACCCCATTCAAATATACTTCGCTTTCGCATTACAAAACATCTACCTCTACTACTACTACTACTACTACTACTACTACTACTACTACTACTACTACTACCCTCTTCTTCCCACCAAGCCGTTGCACTCCATCTATGAATCCATCCATCCCTATCCCGTACACGTCATCAGAGTCATCCATCTCGGCCAACAAAAAACACCCGCGATGCTCGTAGAATTCTAATAGGGGGGAATCAAACATGTCCGTCATCCTCTGTTCTCAATCGTCCATCATACACACGCACACAACAACCGTCCAACATCAACGCTGCTCATGTCTGAGCAATGGCGACCGCAACGGCCTGGTCGTCAGAGTGACTGATGCTAATGTTGATCTTCTTGACCCCCACCCGATTGGCTTCCTCCTGAGCCTGGCCGTGAAGCTATCCATCTGTCAGCATTGGATACCACTAGGGCTCCGTCAGAACAGCCCAACGTACCTGTACAGTCGGCGCACCAGCCTCGTCGTTGACAATCTCAATCTCCTTCAGTGCCGCACCAGCGCCTTGGCCAGGAACACCGAGCGACTTGAACACGGCCTCTTTGGCGGACCACCTGCCCGTGAAGCTTGCCTGAGGATTGGCTGCCTTTTGGCAGTACGCAATCTCCCTCTCGGTGAAGTTGCGCTCGATAAATGTCTCGTTCTCGATGTTGATCGCACTCAAACTCTCCACGTCGACACCCACCTTGGAATTAGCAGACGCCGTGGACTGAGTAATGGACTCGACCATCTTCATCGTCTCACGCGCTTGCTGGTCCTTCTTGGGTGCTGGCCCCGATTTCGGGAAGCTATAAGTCGAAGTCTTCTTGTCCAACGTGACACGTGCGCTGGGGTTGAGGAATATCTCCTGCATCCTGTCGTCCTCATACGGTGCCTTGTCCTTGGCGCGGAACATGGTGTTATTGATGAGGCCATCGTGGTAGTAGCGATAAGCCTTCTTCTGGCGAGCTTCCACCTTCTGCTTGTACGCGGCAAATTGAGATTGGTCAAGCGTGGCGTACAGGTACTTGGGATGAATACCAATCGCCTGGGTACCCTTCTGTCCAAAACCAAAGGACGTCACCGAAAAGGCCTTGATGCCATCTGTTTGAATGGCCTGCGAAGGATAGACAATGTAGTCGAACTTCTCCATGATCTTGTCAACGTTGTCAGCGTTGCGGTTACCGGGAACGAGACCAGTATTGAGCACTTGAAGACACCCGTTGAACATCCAGGCTCCGGCGGCACCCTTGGGATGACCAGTAAGGTACTTTTGATGAATACCAAGGAGCGCATTACCCTTGGTTCGACCGAGATGACGCATCTGTTCGCAAACAACGTCGGATTCATTCTTGTCATTGGCGACGGTAGAAGTACCATGGAAAGACGCGACCCCGAGATCGTCGATAGTCAGACCCCAAGTGGCAAGGGCTCCACGCAAAGGAGCAATGCGTGGATCTTTTTTCCAAAAGCTGTTGCCCAGGCTGTTCAAGGCCTCTTTCTCTTGGCGCTTGGCCTCAAGCTCAATGTTGGCTGCTCGTTCCTCCAAGTAGTCGGCCTCGTTGAAACCTTCAAGAGCAGTTTCCTTCATAGCGGCAACCTCCTCCTGGAGATACAAGAACTCCGATTCTTGCCACTGCTTGATTTGCTTGCGTCGTAGATCCATCTGGCGCCTGCGGTACTTGATGTCGAGTAGTGGTGACGGAAACTTGGATGGGTTCTCGCGAGCTGTGGAAAGGACACCCTTGCCGGGAGCAGGCACTGAACGCCCAATCTTGTCGGTGGCAGTGGCGGTGAAACCAACGATGCCGTAAATGGGAACGCCCATGTCCAAAGCGAGTTGGGCATCCATGATGACTTGCATACCGCAACCCTGCGACTCCATGAAGCCATTCCTCGTCGTCGTCGTGGGGCGGGACATCTCCTTTGGTGTGCGACCGTGGGCAAACTCATCCTCGGCGTTACTGGTTGCCTTCATGTTGGCAAACTCGTACGAGCCCTCCTCTTGGAAGTCATCGAAGCCACCGACGAAGCACACTCGCGCCTTGCCCTCAACGATTGTGTCGTAGCCGATGTCAATGGACTCCACCGCCGTGGCACAAGCACCGACCGGCGTCTTGATGGGACCGGTGGAAGACATGAGCAACATGTTCACCCAAGCGCTCATGGTGTTGATGAACGACTCTTGGAGAATGTCCTTTTGGACAGGCTTGTCAAGGAATCGATCCTTGTACATGCCTCTCAGAGCAGAAGTACCACCAATACCTGAGCCTATGCAGTTACCGACCTGCGACAGGTGGACGTATTGGTAAAACTCGTATGGATCAGTGATACCACTGGACAAAAGACACTCCGCCGTGGATACAAGCACAAAGAGGGTGACAGGGTCGACCTGGGAGATGATGTCGTCCGGTATGCCGTACTTCTTGGCGTCCCATCCGGTGGGAATCTGACCAGCAACAAGACGATCGAAACGGAGAGCCTTGGGAATCAGGAGGGTAGCGCCCTTCTTCATGCGGACTGTATACTCTGCTGAGTCTGCAATGGCGAATATCTCCACCTTGTCCCCATGCTCGCGTTTGAACTCGTCTGCGACTTCCTTTGAAGCCTCAAAGGGGTCGAGATCCTCCTCAATCTGGATCTCTTGCATGAGCTGCTTCTTCTTGGGGTCGTAGCCGTGGAACAATTCAGGTTCGATCAGACGAATACCCGTGTGCTCAAGGATATAGGACTCGTACTTGGCTTTGACATCTTTATCGTCCACAGGTTCTCCGGTCTTGGCATCCACCCAGCCAGAGTAAGACTTGCCTTTGAGGGGCCCGTTGTGGTTCTTGATCAATCCCATGATCCAAGCCATCTCTACACAGCCTTCAATGGAGAACTCGCCGTAGGCCTCCATTTCCCAGCGGGTCCTCGAGTTACCCCAAGGGCCAACTTCAGCGAAACCTGTAACGACGACAACCTTCTCAAGGTCAACCATACCCTTGAGATTATCGTTCAGTGGTTTAATTTCGCTGTCCCAGTCGGGAAGCTTCGCGAAGTCGAACTTCATGTTCGCTCGGGGCGCAATCTTGGCCTTTTTGTAAAGAGCCTCGCTCGCTTCACCGTTCACAACCTTGTTTTCAATAGCGTTCTCCTTGATCACGGCTCGGCGGATATCGCTTGTCTGAGTAAGGTCCTTGCGAAGATCGGTCATGAGGTCTTTGAGGTTGGGAATGTACTGGAAGCCACCATTCAGATCGGCCCAGACAGGCTCAATCTGGCACAGGTTGACGATCGCCGGCGCCATGAGACCCAGCAAGTTGAAAGCCATTTCCTGTTGAGAGAAAGTACGCACGCCGTACTTCTCAATCCCCTCCGCGACGATGTTGTTGGCACCCATGAGACCAGTACCACGGGTCCAGCCAATGACCGCTCCACAAATGGTGAGGTAGTTACCCCAGCTCTCAGAGTGCCACCTGGAGAAGAGCGTCTCAAGAGAGATTTTCGACTCCGAGTACAGACCGTCGTTGCCAAAGGCACCGTGATTGGGAGACAATGGCAGGATGACTTGAGCCGGACGTGTCTCGAAACCGTGAGCCTGCTTCTGCCTCTTGATAGCACCAAGCATGCGAAGAAGGTTGGTAAGCATGATGCGGTGGGCAAGCTCGGATTTGGAGTCGATGCTGTCAATCTCACGACCATTCTCGGGAATGGCAGCAAAAGGAACAATGAGATCCAGATCCCATCCGAGGCCCTTCTTATCGTCATAGACGTAATCAACGAGAGCCTCTACATCCTGATTGCTGCCCTGATTAAAGGGCACGACAATGAGCTGAGAGCCACGAGCACCATATTGAGCGTACATGGACTGGTAGTACTCGGTCACCTGACGAGAGAATCGTGAAGTGGTGACGACTACCTTGGCGCCACCGCTAATCAGGCCCTGGAGGACCTGCGCACCGATGGAGCCGGCGCCAGCGCCCGTCATGAGCGCATGCTTTCCCTGAAACGTGACACCTGATTTGGCAGCATTTTCAAGACAGTCGAGGTAAACGCCGGTCAGCTTTTTGCTGTACTCCCAACCGTGGTCATCCTTTCGCTTGAGATGAAGGAAAGGAATGGTTTCGACTTTGCCTTGCTTAATGGAAGCAACACGGCCGCCCCGGCCCCGCTTGCCATGGCCAGCCTTGCCATTCTCGCTGGGCATAATCTGGCTCTCGTTCATGGACAAGGAACGAATGACATTGCTATACAAGCTCTTGATCTGGAGCTGGGACGAGTTCGAGAGCTTATGTTGTTGCTTGATGAGCTTGTAAATACGCTGCAGGTCGTTCTGAACCTTGGTTCGGTTGCCATATTCTGACAGCTTTCCGCCTTCCGCCATTTCCCGTACGTAATGCTCCAGCTTCCGGACACTCGGGCGAGGACCCTCTTTGTAGTTCATGTTGCCCTTGCTATCAATCTCGAGGTGGGGCGCCGTTGGGATGGCGACGTCCTTGTAGACTGGGGCCTCATTCAGGACGTCTCTGCAGTTGTCAATGAGCTGTTGACCAAGCTCCTTGGCCAGCTCATAGGTTTCACCGCGCTCCGTCGGGCAGTGATCCATGTGGTACTGCATGAAGTCGAGCAGGAGAGGATTGGATCGATTCATAATGGCAATGCATCGGCTGACAATCTCGCGATCGACGGCCTTGAGCTTTCCGAAAATGATGTCGTAGTACATGGTCAGCGCGTCCTGACGAGCCCAGTTCCACGACGAGTCGTAGACACGAGCTTTGAGAGGTGTGAATTGAGGCTCAATGCCAGCCGCGTAGAACTCGCCGTGCTCCGTCAGCCAGAGGTCGAGTTGAGCCTGTAGAGCCGCTTGTGTCTTTTGCGAGTCGACGAAGGACTTGTCACCCGAACGAAGATCGATTTTGAGATATCTCGCAAAGAGCTCGAGCTGCTGCTTGAAGAGCGCTCGCTGGTCCTTGGTGAGTGCGTCAATGGCAGCTGGGTCCATCATCATGCCGCCGCCTGCAGCACCGCCATCACCGCCGGCAACGGGGGCAGATAGATTGATGCCAGCGGCCGCTGCGTACTTGTTCGCCTGCTCGTCCAAGAAGGCCTTGCCGTCCGCCTCGGAGGCAAGACGTGCTGCGGGCTCGTTGGTGAGGGCGAGAAGCAGGACGCCGTCTTGGCGTCCTTGAGCCAGACCCCATCTGGTCTCGAGGTGCTTGCGCACCGCGGTGATGTTGAAGCCACCAGGCATCTTCGAGGACACCATGCGGGCAATGAGGGACGAGGACTGCTTTCCTAGCTGGCCATTGAATGTGTCTTGCATCGAAGCTCCGAGCTCGTCGAGGGGCGTGTCTTCGGGCTTCTCGGGTGTCGAGCCGAATTCCTTGCCCAGATCACCGAGGATCTCGTTTTGGAGGGTGGATTTGCCTGTTGGTTGTTAGCTGTGCGCTTTTGTGTGGCCGGGCAAGAGAGCACTCACCTCCGACGAGGTCCTTGATGGCTTTGCTCAGCGGAATCTCCATGAGCGGCTTCTTGAGCTTCTGGGCCACCAATGTCCGCAGAATGTCGGTGGCTGTGACAGGCGCATCGGGCACTGATGCTGCTGGGCCGGCGTTGGCGGGGGGTGGAATCGCCATGGCTGGTGCAGAGGCAGCTGGTGCAGCGGACGAAGCAGCCGGTGCACTCGCACTGCCAGCTGCGGGAGCTTCTGGCTCCTCCTCGACCGGGTCGACGTCGTAGTAGATGTCTTTTGCGTCCTTGTTGTAGCACAGAATCTGGCGCTGGACTGAGCGGGCGGCATCGTGTGCCTCGTATTTGGAAGCAATTGTCCGCTTGGCCATTACCCCAAGTGTGTCTGCGGGGCCAATTTCGACGATGCGCTCGGTCGTCTTCTCGCCGAGAACGACATCTTGCGTCTCAATCCACCTGACGGGCGAAGCGAATTGGTATGCAAGTAGCTCGATGAGCAGGGTGTGGGAAAGCTCTTGCTCGACCTCGGGACGCATGGCGGTGAAGGCGGTTGTGTGGGCAGCAATGGGTTGAGGGAGGGTGTAGAATCCAGCTCAGTGGTCGAGCTCAGTCAATGTAGCTGTCTCAATCAATGAAGAGAGAGACGAGGGAGGGGGGTTATGTTGACGGTTTAAGGAGAGAAGCGGCAATGGCAGGAAGGAGCGACGTGCTGCTGCTGCTGAGTGAAGTTGGGGGGGGGGAGGAAGGTGCGGCCGGGGGTGGAAGAGAGAGAGAGAGAGAGAGAGAGAGAGAGAGAGAGAGAGAGAGAGGAGGGCAGGATCAACCCCGAGCAGAGTCTAATTTACAAGGCAGAGGAGAGGAGGAGAGAGATGCGGGCGTTTGAGGAGTCAAGGAGGCAAACGCATTGGCTGAATAGCTCTCGTCTAATGGGCAAAGAAAAGCACGAGAAGGCGTCGAGGGGTTGAGGAGGAATTCGACTCGGCTGACGGGACCAGTGCAGAGAGTTGCTAGGTACAGCGGTAGAGTGATTGGGGTAGAGTCCAAACAGTGCAGTGCTCACTAGTAGTAGAGTACTGCTGGGCACCTACCAGAGTATTACTGGTAGAGCCTTAGCCTGGCTAGTAAAATGCCCGGACCCCTGCAAACGAAAAGGCGGCCGCACTGGAGTTTTGCTCGACGTTTGCTGTTCTTTGGCCGGGGGTCTCAACAATTTTCCTCGCAATCGACCCCGTCTTGATAACAAGAATGCGGCGGAATCTGGTTGGTCTTGCGAGTGGGCGGTCAGCACAACAGTGGTGGCGGCTGGACAAGAACGTTGACGGTTGCGAGCGTGCTCAACAGCAGGGCTCAACAATCAAAGTCTACTCTACCACCCAACTGGACATGAACCGTTCTACTTCTAGTACCGTACTTGTTACTTGGAGTACTAGTAGTACGTATTGCTATGGTAGCACCGTAGACTTTTGGGGGTTGTTGTTGTAGTTTTTTTTTTTTTTTTTTTTTTTTGGCCATTTTAAGGGGCCGGGGCAGGAATGGATCATTGGGCGTCCCCAAAAAGGGAGGGCTGGGGTGGGGATGGCCCGGTGGTAAAACCGGAAGAACACACCCCCATTTTTTTAACCCGGGGGGTATGGGGGGGGTGGGGGGGTTTGGGGGGGGGGGGCAACCCCCTTGGCCCCTCCAACAAAAAGCGCGGGGGCGGGGCAAGGAGGCCCTAAACCCACTTGAAGGTCC